CCCCACCACCCCAGGCAAAAGAGATTGAAAAAAGGAGGTCTGACACTTGCCCCCAGGGAGGTAAGAATGAAAACCAGGAATGTGACCTCTTGAAGACAAGTGAAGTCCATTAAGGAGGAGGAGGTGATCAACTGTGTCAACTGCTACAGATAGATCAAGTTAGATGAGGACTGTGAATTGATACAACAACACAGGAGTCATTTGTATTCCTAACAAGAGCAGTTTCTGTTTAGTTGCAGGATTGAAAGTGTGATGGTAATAGGCTCAAAAAAGAATGAAAAGAAAGATTTAAAGAGGAGCTGGGTGAGAGCCCGGGCAAATGGAAACTGTGAGTATAGAGCACTCTTTTGAAGAATCTGGGTGTAAAAGAAAGCAGTGAAATATGACAACAGCTAGAAGAAAAAGTGGAATCCAGAGGTTATTTTCAATGTTTTGTTTTTGTTTCTTTAAGATAAGAGAAATAATAGCATGTGTGGCATATCTATCTACTAATGAGAATGATCTAGGACCAAGGGTAAGAAGGGAAATGAGGACATGTAGGGGAAGAAAAAGGGACAGTAAATATGTGATAGGATCAGTGGGTTTTTGAAATTGGAATACTAGGGGGAATGTAAGGGGGTAACGAGGGAAGAATGAGAGGCTTGACCCTGATCATATGGTGGAGTTACCATTATTGGTAATGACAAGGTCCAGGATATGACCATGGGAGTGAGGCTGAGGTCAGGGAGTGGACACATCATTGGAGGAGAAGAGGTCAGGAACTGAGAGGGCAAGGGATGGGAGAGATCATCTACATAGATACTGAACTCACCAAGAATTAAGGCAGTAGTGCTGGAGAAAGCAGTAGTGAACCAAGAGCTAAAATCTTTAAGGAAAGAGGGCGAGTAGCACCTAGATCTGCAGATACCGAGAAAAACAAGGGTTAGTGAGATGCAAACTTGGAAGATTTAGGGATGAGGGAAAGAGAATGGCCTGGAAGGAATGATGAGGAGCAAAGATGACATCTACTACCATCTTGAGAGCACTGTTCTCAAGAGAAAGGCAAATTACAGAAAACAAAGAAAGAAAGAAGGAAAGGAACATTCAAAGAAGAGGTTAAAATATAGTGGATTTATTTTGGTGATGATGGACTGTAAGTTCTAGAGAGCACCAAGTGGGAGATGGGGACAGACGAGGGGATATTAAGAGAAATACAGGAACCAGAATGCAGGAGATGAGGTATGACCTGAGAGTTGGGGGCTTCCTGAGGTTACTGTCATAAGTAGGGATAAAAGGCATAATGAAATATACTTGTTATGATTTTAAGGTAGTTGCAAGGGTGTGAGTTTTAGGAGATAAGAGGTACAGGGAACCTTGAGCCACCTTGTCACTCTGTTCAAAGAAGGCATGGAAGCTAAAATATTTAGAGAGGATTAAATGAAATACTACATATAAAGTAAATGGCAGGGTTTCTGGCATATAATAAGTGATCAATAAGTGTTTGAATATTTAAAAATTATTTTCACAACTAACAGGAAGACTAAGCATAATTATCATTTATTACATGTTTGATTTTAAATGGATTTTTAATTGTTTCTATCAAAATTTGGAATCAAACCACTGATTAGGCACCTAACTACCTCACATAGTATAGTTTTCATGGGAAAATTAAATGAAACTTGCTTTGATTTACAGTATGTTTTCCAGTAGTGTGAACTGTCATAATTTCAAGAGATGACAAACATTGTTTACCTGACATCATAAAAGAGCTTAAGTCATTAAAATCTCTTTGCTTTTCATACTTTTCTTTTTTACTTTTTCCCATACAAAAATTTATATACATTCTTATGTGACCCTAATTGCTCTCTCCCTCTCCCCATACTGTGATAGCACACTCCTCCTTTCCACCCCTGATCCCTCATGTCTGTTCAACCAGCTCCTAACCCTGCCTTCCCATCTCACCTCCAGACAGAAACTGCCCGTTTAGTCTCTTGTATCTACTTGAGCTAAGAGGCACACTCTTCATGAGTATCATTTTATGTCCCACAGTCCAGTCCAATCCCTGTTTGACAAGTTGGCCTCAGAAATTGTTTTAGTTCTGGGCTGATAGAGAATCCAGGGGCCATGCTTTCCGGGGTTCCTCCAGTCTCAGTCAGACCATTAAGTCTGGTCTTCTTACTAGAGTTTGAGTTCTGCACGTCACCTTTCTCCTGCTCCATCCGGGACTCTCTGTTGTGCTCCCCATCAGGGTGGTTGTTGCTGGTAGCCAGGCACCATCCAGTTCTTCTGGTCTCAGGCGGATGAAGTCTCTGGTTTATGCGGCCCTTTCTGTCTCTTGGGCTAATACTTTCCTTGTGTCTGTGTTCTCCATTCTCCTTTACTCCAGGTAGTTGGGACCAATTGAAGCATCTTAGATGGCCGCTTGCAAGCTTTTAAGATCCCAGACGCCACTCACCAAAGTAGGATGCAGAACA